TAACTTTGATTGCATAAATAACTCTGCACTTTTACTTCCTCTCCCTCCACATTTTGCTGTCACAATTTACATCTTATATTGTGTATCCCTTACCAAATTATTATATCTATTATTTTTAATAGTTTTCTTTTCATCTTCATAATAAAGATATTATTGATTTACATATTATCATTACAGTATTAGAGTACCATGAATTTTACTATGTACTTTTACCAGTCAGTTTAATACTTTAACATGTTTTCATGTTACTAGTGTCCTTTCAGCTTGAATTCCTTTTAGCATGTCTTGTAAGACATGTGATGATAAATTCCTTCACCTTGTTCATCTGGGAAAACTCTTATCTCTCTTTCATTTCTGAAGGACAACTTTATTGCATTTTTGTTTGTGTTTTATAATATGTCTTAGTGTAATCTTGTTTGGATTGAATCTTCTTAGAGATCTTTGGCCTCCCTGTACCTGGATATTTACATTTTCTGCTTTTTTTTTGTTTTTAATCTTTCAACCTCTTTCTTCTTTCTTCTCCTTTTTGAACACCTACAATTTGAATATTAGCTTTTTTGATGGTGTTCCATAAAAAATTCCATAAACTTTCTTCATTCCTTTTCATTTTCTTTCTTCTCTGGCTGTATGTTGAGTTCAGATTCTTTCTTACATTGATGAACTCTGTGGTTGATGCTCTCTATTGCATTTTAAATTTCATTCACTATATTTTTCAGTTCTAGAGTGTTTTTGTAAAATATAACCTTACTGCTAAATAGGCAATTTTGGTCTATTTTATTTCATTGAATTGTTTCTGTATATTTTCAGGTGTGCTAACTTTCTTAAAATTATTTTGAATTATCTGCCAGGCAACTTATAAATTTCCAGTTCTTTTGGGTCAGCCATTAGGAGATTGTTGTGTTCTTTTGGTGGTGGTATATTTTCTTGGTTTTTCATGTTTCTTGTTGCCTAAATTGATGTCCACACAATTGAAGAAATAAGAACTTACTGCAGTCTTTACAGAATGGCTTTAAGAAAGCTCTTTACCACTTAGGCCATTCAGAGATTCTAGGTAGGCTGTGTGGCATGGTTCATAGGCTGGTTTGTTGTTGGAGTCCTCAGGTCAGCTGTCCTGGTCTTGGGTCAGCAGGTGGGTGGGCCTGAAGCCTAGAACCATGGGGGTATATCTGCTAACTGGGTCCATAGAAGTAGGCCTTGAGGCTGGGTCAACAAGTATGCGCCTGTATCCTATGTCTGTGGGGGCTGACCTGGATCCTGGGTCCATAATATCTGACCTGGTGCTGGGGTGGGCCTTGAACCTAAGTCTGTAGGAGCCAGTCAGGTACTGGGACGGACCTCACACCTGGGGTCACTGGGTTGGGCCTGGAGTCTGAACCCATGGGGGTTGTCCTGGCACTGGGGCAGGCCTGAGTCTAAAGGGGTGGGTATGGGTGCTGGCTCTGTAGGAATGGGCCTGGAGCCTTAGTCTGTGGTGGGTGGCCTGGGACTATGCTCTACTGGGATGGACCTAAACTCAGTCTGCTGAAGGAGACCTGGACCCTGGGCTGCTAGAGTTTGAAGTTCCAGGGACTGGCCTTGCACTGGGCAGGCCTAGAGTCTGTGTCCATGGGTACCAGTCTGATGCCTAAGGCCAGAAGCACAGACTTAGTATGGGGGCTCTAGTGGCTAACTTGGCTCAAGGATAGTCTGGAAATGAGCTGGGCTGGAGCCTGGGGCTGTAGGGGCTGGCCTGGTTCTAGGTAAGCCTGGAACCTGTATCCATAGGAAGCCAACCTGTAGGCTGAGCCTGCAGGTGGTGGTCTGATGACTAGGACTTCAGGGGCTGTCTTGGTGTTGGGGTGGGCCAGCCTGGTTCTGGTGGCAGTCCAAAGTCTGGGGTCACTGGGGCCAGCTTGGCCCTGAGGTGGCACTACAGTCTGAGTCCATGGGGGGCTGGCTTGGCACTGTGGAAGGCCTAAAGTCTGGAACTGCTGGGACTGGTGCTGGGGCCTAGGGTCACTGGGATCAAGCCTGGCAGTGGGACAGGCCCAGAGACTGCATCTACCAGGCAGGCCTGGTACTGCAGGATCAGATCTGGCACCAGGGTAATCCTGGAGGCTCAGTCCATGGATACTGGCCAAGAGTCTGGGCTCTGGGGGTCAGCCTGTGGCTTTGGGGGTGGCCTGGAGCCTGAGTTTGTGGGGGTTGGCCTGGAACTAGGGTAGGCTTGAAGTTCAGGGCTGCTGAGGTTGACCCAGTGCTGAGGTTGGTTTGGAACCTGTGGCTGCCTGGGTCAGCCTGAAGGTGGGAAAGGCCTGGAGATGAAATTCACAGGGCAGGCCTGAAACTATGGGATCCACCATGGCAACTGGGGTGAACCTGGAAGCTCAGTCCATGGGTACCAGTCTGAAACCTGGGGCTATGGGGACCTACCACTGTTGGTTTTTATTGGGGGGGCCTGGTGTTGGAGTCAATGGCAAAGTTCAGTACTCACCTCATTCTTCTTCCCATACACAGGAGGTTTCTGTCTACATGTTGTGCTGCCTGGGGTTGGTGGTGAGAGTAATGTAAAACTGTTCTTCCTGCACTCTTCAATGCATCTTCTCTTATTTCTATGGTACCTCCAGGTGCTGTAATCTCCCGATTCCTTAGTTCTTGTGAAGGTATGTTTGTGCATGGGTAGTTGTTCAAATTGTGGGGGATAAGCGTGAGAGAGTCCTATTCTGCCATCTTCCTGATGCCTGTCCTCCCAGAATAGCAACTTGGTTGAATAATTGGAGACTAGGCTGGCCAAGTTGACATATCAAAACAACCATCACATATACCTACCTTTTCAGTCACTGAAAGGATTAGGTGATATTTGTAAATTACTTTAGCAGTGTCTGGCACATGGTAAATAATTAATTTTCACTTATTTATATAATAATTATAGTTACACTCATATAATTATAAATATTCCAGTTATATAACCTTGAGCCAATCATGTAACATGATTAATCTTCAATTTCTTCATCTGTAAAATGAGGGCATTGGAATACAAAGTTGCTAATGCATCTTCATGCTCTTAAAGTCTATGGGATTTTTGGTCATGTTTGAGGAATGAAGGCTAAACAAGCCAAAATTGGGAAGAGAAGTGAACTGGAGTGACACAGAGATAGAAAAAAAGGAAGAGGTCATGGCGTAGGTGGAAGAATGACAAAAAAGAAACTTCTAAACTCCACCAAACATCTTGTGAATGCATAGATTGTTCCAGATGTCATCAAATAGAACAGCCTATGTCTATGGTCCTGACTCCTGGGTGCCCTGGTCCAGGACAATTCATGTCAATGGTAATAAGAGCCCAACTTTCCAGCAGGATAGATTTGTTCAGGTAACACTCAGCCAGCACCTACTCTGTGCCAGCCTGGCTTGATGCTGCTGTGATTCTAATTCTTCATTAGCATTAACACTTCCCTCTGATAAACTACTTTTATTCTTCCTTGGCATCATTTCCACAAAAAGTATTCTTTGCAAGAAAGAGCCTCTAGGTTATATGCCAACTTGGGGGTGTGGGTACAATTAAGGCAAGCACTCAGTGTTCCCAATTCCACCTTGAAGGTATTAACAACCTTGAAAAATAGTGCCATTTAGTCTTTCAAAACAAAGGTCCTGACATTTCCCCGGTTATGACAAGAAGAAAGGATGCATCAGAAATCAGTGGCTAAAAATGAGTCAAAAAGGGCTCAATCTGCCAAATTGTCCCCCAAGGAAAGTTGAAGTGCTGGGTTTGTAGTGAGCTAAATCCTCAGCAATTCCTCATGTCACAAGGAAAGATGGAAGCTAAGGGAAAGGTGATAGTGGAAGCCTGGAGGAGGAAGGAAAAGGAGCTGCTAGGTATCTGGTTGTTTGGAAAGTCACTACTCAAAAATAAAATGAGACACGATTCTTTCTGATTTCTTAAAGAGAATTATTTTACTTGTGGAATTAAAACTCAAAGTACAAAAACATGAACTACTCTGGGCTGGCTGAGGTTCTGGCAGATGCTCTTATGTAAGCCTCCACTGCTCATGGCTCAGTGATTTCAGAATGGGACCCCAGCTCCCTAGGTTGCCCAGTCTCAGCATAGGTCATATTAACAATAACACATTTCACAGGCTGTGGCTTCACCTTCACACACGGGCATGATCCCTCTTCCTTCTCACTCCTCTAGTTATTTCTGGGAGACTCCTAAGGGAATCAGTCATGTGCTTATATCAAGATCAACAAGCCTTTTGAGTTTCCTTTTGCTTTCCTTTCAGTGAGATGTTTTTCCAAGAACTCTGACCAACCTCTAACAGAGATGCTGAATGCCAACTCCCACAGCTGTGGTCTTGATCTCCAGGTTCCACAAACTGCTCCCTCCCCATTTTCCTTCGTGCTAAAAGGTAGTAATAGCTTCTGCTCTTATAGTTTCTGGGGAACCACACCATCCTTGAGAGTTTTCTATACTCAGCCCACACATTTGTAAATAGTTCTTATTAAACTCTTCTCAAAGCATCCCATATGAGCATGCCATCCGTTCCTTCTGGATCTCCATGCAATATACCAGATGTGTCTCAATCTCAGTTTGAGCCTTAGGCTAAACTGTTATGTCATGAAGACACTGCAGGTCCTATTGAACTGTACAGTGAAAATGATTTAGGAGACTAAAAGATGATACTTAAGACATTTTTAAAGTTGAAATCAAAATCGTGGTATTTGCTTCATGACCTCTGAAACTTAATTTGCCTCATGATCTCTGAAACTTAATCTGCTGGGTAAAAAACTTTCAGCAGCACAGCAAGGCCAATCATTTTCAAGTCCCCAAAGAAGTCATATGTTCACCAGGAGACACAGGTCTTCCCATGTCTGAGCACAGAGAGGCAGTAGGATTGGCAGCTGCTGTTGGAGATGCTTGCTGTTTCTGTTCTTTCTTTCTTTCTCTTTCTTTCTTTCTTTCTTTCTTTCTTTCTTTCTTTCTTTCTTTCTTTTTTTTTTTTTCTCGGTTTTTTCCACATTTTTTATTAGGGCCTTCGTGGGAGGGGCCGCCTCTGTCAGTGAAGGTGCTCACAGTTTCTTCAGCCACTCCAGGCTGGGGCCCTGAGGGTCCTGGGGGTGGCTGGACACGTCCGGCATGTTCCCATCATCGCGGACGGGCACTGGGTAGTTGTAGGGCGTGGCCTCGTTGATCATGACGGAGTACTTGAAGTAGGGGCTGAATGGGGGCATAATTATAGCGAGGCACCCAATGACGAAGGACACGACCAGCACTGGCTCCTTGTCCCAGGCATTCTTGAGGAAGGCGCCGAGTCTCATGGCCATCTTGGTCTTGGCGGCCGGAGGTGCTTTCAAAACACAGTGACCAGCAGGCCTGGCTCTAGCAGAGCCAACACCACAAGGGATTGGAGGGTATAAGCCATGACAGGCAGTGTCACTATCTGCTGCTTCTTAATTCCTGCAGATTCAGGGACCATAGATTCCAGTTGTCCACCTTGATTCACCTCATCAGAAACTTGGAAAACCTTCACATTGTCTGTGTTGACATATTGACCTTACTCCAACTGTGTGGATAGCATGTGTTTTAAAATCCACTGGACATAGAATTATAGGTTCACCATATGATTTTTAAATTTATTATATTATTTAAAGGTGTTTTTCTACTCCCTCCTGGCCTCTCTAGTTTCCTGCAAGAAGTTAGCCATTGACCTGATCATTGTTCCTCCACATGTAGTTCTCATTTTTCTCTTGCTGCTTTCAAGGTTTGCTCTTCATCTTTGGCTTTCAGCAGTTTGAGGATGTGCCTCGGTGTAACTTATATTTATTCTCCCTTTTGTTGTATTAAAACACAAATGGCGTTTGCTTCCAGGTGTGATAGACAAAGATGTTATTAGACAAAACATACTACAGAAAACAACTATAAAACCTGGAAATACTTAAAAAAAAAAAAAAAAAGCATGTAAATGTCATGTGAGGTGAACAAAAGCAGACAAATGTACGGGACAGAGTCACATATCCACACTATACACACTCAATTAGAAAACTCAGTTGTAAGAAGACAACTCATTGTTTAAAAATGAACAAAAGACTTGAATAGGTTCCTCACTAAAGAAAATACACAAATGGCCAATACATATATGAAAGTATTCCATATCTCTAGTCAAAATTAGTAAACATATCACTAGTAAAATTATCACTAATGAGCAGAAATTAAAACCATAATGAGATGGTTTTATATACCTACTAGAATGACTAAGGTTAAAAAGACTGACAACACGAAATGTTGGCAGGGATGTAAAGCGACTAGAACTCTCATTCCCTGCTGGTATGAATGTATAACGGTAAACCACTTTGGAAAACAGGATGGCAGTATATTTATAAAGTTAGACATACACTTGGCATACAACTCAGCAAGCCCACCCTGGGTAATTTTTCAAGAGAAAGAAAACATATCCATACAAAGACAGGAGCATATTCATAAAAGCATCATTCACAATATTCCAAACTGGAAGGAATCTAGATACCATCAAATGGTGAATAGAGACAGTGTGTGACATATTGATACTATGAAACCCTACAGAGCCATAAAGAGGTGCAAAATATTAATACATGTAACAACATGAATGCGTCTCAAACATGCTAAGTGAAAGAAGTCAAACACAACTACATATTTATGAGGCCACTTATGTAGAATTCCAGATAAGGCAATACTATTACGACAGAATCGGATCAGTGTTTGCCCGGAGTAGAAGATGAGGGTTTGGGTCCGAAGACAACTTTTCAGAAGGAGTGAACTGTCCTATATCCTGACTGGCTACATGATTGTATACAGTGACAAAAGTTCATCAGACTGTATAATCAAATAGGTGAATTTTATATGTAAATAGTCTTTAAAAATTTCCAACTTAAAAAATACACATTATCCCTGCACCCCACCCCCTAAAAAAGATCCTGCTACTTTTTCCATGGAGTCAAAAGAATATCAGCTTGATTCTAGACTCCCAGGGTCTGATTCCCAGCTCAGGCAGTTTCTTGTTTCCTACACTTCCTGTGCTTTATCTCACCCGTAAGATAAAGACAATATTACTTAACCTCACCAGGTTGCTAGAAGGATTAAATGAGGCAATAAACACATGCTCTGCCTTAGCTATCACTGCAGTCTTTTTTCTTAAGAAGAATATATTTCTAGCTCCCTCTGGGACACTGGAGTGCTATCCAGTGCTTCAGTTGGGCAGTTCCACCCAGTAAGGAACTTCACGCTGTGACCTACGAAATTACAAGCCCCCTGGATCCAGCTGACCCCAGCAGAATGGAGTTGGGTTTTGGTATCTGGGATTTAGCCAGAAAAGTATGGCCCTCAGCTATCTAAATTTCCTACCTCTCTTCCTATATCATGAAGCTCCAGGCACCAACGTCAGCTGTTTTTTAGGGTCATCTTCTCAGGTCAGTAGGACAGATTTAAAAAGGTAAAATCGGAAGATTCCATGACGTACAGTTCTGTTATCTGTTGTTCTTGTATTTGCCTCTATTTTGTTGTATAATGCAGACTTTTACAGCAAGGAAATAGCCATCTGATTTTTTTTTTTTTTGAATAGCCCTTTATTATGGTTGCATTTATCTTATTGTTTCCACTTTCAGATGGGGAAGCTAAGGCATTTCATCTAACTATAACTCTATCGCTATATTAAACAATAGTATAAAGATGTAAGCAAGGTTTAAACAAGACTATAAAGCATGGTTCCATATGGACTTTATTCTCTTCTCTTCCATACTTTCAAGCACAGATTTTGGGCTTGAGCTCCCTTTGTACAGCTGCCTTGGATGATTTATGTGGAGTCCAGGCAGGAACCCTGACTCTCATGGCCTCTGAGGCATCTTAGAGTGAGATACCTTGTTCCTTATTTGCATTACACTGGACAGGGAGTTTGGTCCTCTGTTACATATATAACGTAACTTATTTATAGTTTATATTTATGTCACACTTCTACATTATAAAATATTAGACCCTCTAAGTTTTCTACTTACAATTTCAGAATTGTTACTGCAAATGAATTAACTTGCATTTTCTCCTTTTGCAAGGCTGAGGTGAAAACTAATGACGTAGATAACAGATTTTTTTCCCTTGGTGATTAGAAAGCTTTTAGCTTCATTATTTAATCCCCAAGGACAGGGTAAGTGCTGCTTCTGTATGAGTGAGTTGCAGTCTACAGTTCCATTTCAATTAAATTTTTTTCACTATATGGTTTGTCAAATATCAACAACATGAGTGCTTGAGGACAAATTGTTTTTAAGATTTCTGTAAGATTATTACCCTATCACACTGATTCTCAGGAAATGTATTAAATTTACAATGGGAGCCTTGTTTCCCATAGTTACAGTTTGGTGATATTTATGTTCTCATCTATTTTGTTCTGCAACCAATGGAGTTGTTATACGTGTTAAGGAACTGCCCCTTTGCTCCAGGAATTCCATTTCTAAGAATTCATCTCAAGGAGGTAGGAACCAGGAATTAGATGTTTATGGGACAAGTGTATCCCATTGTCCACTTGGAAGTCTCTGAGAACTGATAAATGGAGATCCGACTTAAATATCTCCCATGCTGGGCCTTGGCACATGTTGGGGTCTGTATAACTTCCAAAGGCAATGTGAAGAGTGAGAAAATTACATCTGGCATTGGTTTCGGTGAGGCATTTTAATCAAATGCAGGCCAGATTAAATCTGTTCTGCAAGAGACTGGATGCCAATTTAGCTGTTACCTGAATCAATGAAACAAGCTGAATTTTTAAAGGTTGCGGAGACTGCGATTAGAAAGCAGGTAATTGGGTAAGTGTCTGTTAGCAGGACAAGCCAGGTATGTATTGATCAAGAAAGGAAAAAGTCTGACTTGATTAACAAACTTTCTCTGTGTCAATAAACTAATGGTTGCTTTTAAAATGTAATTTTGCTTCCATTCTTCAGTAAGGGGCCAAAAATAGCCCAGGGAGGGGCTGTGGAGAAAGTTAAAGTGTTTCTAAATAAGGAGCTTCCACTGATGATTGGAGAACACTGGTAATGGAAAAGGAACAGATTATCTGTCTCAGGAAGAGGCTTTTCAGTCCCTCCAATGGCATATAACAGAATTCAAACAAGTTTTACACTGAAGACTGCAGCATTAGACTTGTGGCTCCACATTCAGCTCTAAAGTGATTTTTGCTGGAGGCAAATGCGTCAAGAAAGAGAAATCTTTCTCTCCCAAGAAACCTCTTACACAACTGTCCCTCCAGGGACTCTCAGAACAATCCCTCCACAGGGACCTGAGACACCAGGTCATGGCTTTTCCTTCTCGGGAAAGCAAATGGGACTGATGTACTGGGAATTCTCTCTCATCCTGAAGCGAAACACACCCAAGTCCGTGAGCCCTCGTCCCAGATGAGGCTCCCTGTCTGCAGAATGGGAGAAGAACTGGCAGGCTCTGCAGATTCCCCACTCAGTGCCTCTGGTTTGGAAATTACAAGTACTGACTTCTTAGGTTTCTAGTAAACAATAGGAAAAACCTGCCCTTAGATGTCCCAAAACAGTTAGAGTTTTGAAACTGGATATGGAACCCAGCCCACAGCTTGGGACTTGAGGAAACTAGGAGAAGGTGTCTGGGCACCGTGAGCCTCAGATGTCTCCCTGCCACCACCCACTGCTGTAGAAGCAACACCATCAGGGCCAGCGCTTGATTTGATGAGTAAAGAATCCCCCTCTTGGCAGGGAGCGAGAGCAGTGTGGGCGCTCCCTGGGCATTAAATTGTATTTGACAGCGAATGACAAGCATGGCAAGCTCTCTGCCCACATCTGTCTTTGTGTCCTCTGACTTCTGTCTCATCGCCTGAAAACAGATTTGGTTTGACTGAGAGCAGAGACTCTGAGTCTGACAAAACCTAAAACAATAACATTTTATTCTAATGGGAGAGCTGAGATGGAGAAAATGGAAGAAAAGTAATAAAAATAAGGTAAATCTGGGGGAACATGACTAAGTTGTTTTGTTGCCAACCACAGCAAAACATATTGCAAGGATAATAACTGGCTCCACAAAGGACGTCCTTATTTGAATGCAGCTGGGAGAGAAGGCAGGAGAGGGGAGAGAACCTATAAAATTCCTAGACCAAAACGTTCTGGGTACTCAAGAATCTTGAGTCAGTACTTACTGTTTTCCTTCCCCACACCATCATTTGTCCAGTTTTTTTTTTTAACCCACAACGTGGTGATTTTGCCAGCACCTGGGGAGAAGTTCTCAGTATCCAGCCCTCTCCAGTGTGTGTGGTTGCACAACTCTGTGACAGCAGCCACACCCCTACTTCTG